GCCGCTACCCTCTCATTTGAGACCCCTTCAATTTAATCGGGAAAATTAAAAGAGAAAATTACTTGGGCGAATTAAACCCCGCGAGGAAATGCGCGCGGAGTAAAAGCATGGAGTAAGTAGCGTCGATAAGAACGTTTAACATTGTCTTTTAATACTTACCTTTGCTTTGAACGACGGTAATAGTATAGCGTGCGCCGCTTTCGTGACCCGCGCTCCCTAATGCTATCTTATTCTCCGCCACACGTTTGCGTGACACTGTCGCATATAATCCATTAAATATTATACGGAACCTCGATGCAAATAATTTGCGCTAAATGTGCGGTAATCTCTGGCGAAAATATTCACTCTTCAAGGGAGCTTAAGGAAGCTCTCGCGCTATCGTCCCGAGGGGTTGATTTGTCGCGCCGTGTTTACCGCCGCGCTATAAATCCGGCTAACTTTACTTCTCTTCAGGCCGTTACTTCATTTCACTGCGAGCGACGCACGTTTTCTCTTGCCGTAGCGCACCTGGTGTAAAGGAGAAAGAAGCAGTCGTCGGCCCCGCGATACGCTATTTGATCGATTTGATTTCTGTTCCTGTATACGAACACGTTCTATTAGAGCGGGATTTCATTTACCCGCGCCAACCAAGGGCTAGTGGTATCGATCTTAAGTAAGTGATTTGCGGGATAAAGGTAGAAGGCAAAATGATTCTTCATCCTCGGCGGGCCTTGGGAAGCAATGACGAGAACGGACGAGGGAACATTGGACAATGAGGATTGGACGGTTGTCTCTGTCGTGGGAGCCTATATCCCCTGGAATCGTCAGCTTTTGTCCACCTGAATCAGTCGGCTAACAAGTTTCTACCCTCTTAACCATTCACGCGAGCGATTCGACGAAGTTGCGAAAAAAGCTCGAATGTCAGCTTCTTTTTTTCGGACGCAGCTGCTCGGGTTTGTATTAAGCATACCTTACTCGCAAGATTCATGAAAATCGAAATTTTTGCCAAAAGTCGCGCGATTAACCGTAATCCCGCGCGGCATGAAATCACTGCGAGCGATATCATCTGCGCGGTAGAGAGCGTGTGAGATCTGCGAGTATTAGCGAAATTATAAGCATGCTGCTGGTCACAGAGTAGCTGTGATACGCCGTGATAGATGAGAAATGTAAAATGCAAATGGAACGTCACACGCCATTATTTGATTCGAATGCTCGTAGGGAGTTTCTTTTTCACAAGAGGACGGCGTCGCGGAGTTCTTGCGATAGTGGAAGAATTTAATATCACGCGTCCCAGTTCGCTAAAGCCGAAGCGAGTACTTTTTACGTAAGGATTATATTCGCTCATACAGGATGTCCCAAAACTATCCTGCAGCGGGGCGTACCTTTCAGCTCGGTTGAGTGTGCGCGAGCCAAGTTTAACGCACAGAATGTACAATCAAAAACACACGGTCGGTGAAGTCGGTATTTTTTTTATGAGTCGTATAAACGTTCTTGTTGTGGAAGGATGCAGTGAGTCTCCATATGCGCGTAGATCACGCGTCGAACGACCGACTGTAAAAATGCGCGCGCAAAAACATATTTCCGTCGAGTTGTTTGTGACTCGTAATTTAACGTCGATTCGACCGACATCTCTCGAGACTGTCGCTGAGGGCAAAATCAACGGGACTAAACGTTACCGCTGCGACTCGGAGATCACGCGAACGACGACAATGGCACACCTGATGTACCGTGGCGCACCTGACGAGCGTTATTCGAGAGGTAGAAACGAACGACGGTGGAGAGTATATTTTAGATTGCCAGTATGTTTTTATATTCGTCGCGATATTATTCTCTATTTCGTATTTCCTGTTACATTCTCAAAAGCAAAATGGATGAAAAATAATAATCGCGTGATATTTCTCCCAGTCGCCTCTCGCCGTTTTAACGTGCGCTTCGTGTGTTTTCTCGTTTCTCCATTATTTCTTTTTCTAATTATAAGCGATGTAAATGTGGAAGAGCATTGATAACGCTTTATCGACGACTAATATGAGAAACGGTCTCCCTCCAATTGCTCGCGATTCCTAACTAGCGATATCTCCGTGTAATCTACTTCAAAGTCGTCGTCAAATAGTTCGAAAAAATCCGCGTACGTAGAACGAGGCACCGTGAAACTGGGACGGCCCGTGGGCGTAAATGAACACTTAGTATGTACAAAAGAGCGCTTTTATTTACTATACATTACGAACACATAATCCTACCTATGTTCAAGTGTTTTAGGGCGGCAGCTAGCGGCACCAGTAAAGCCGCTCGCGCTGCACCAAAATCAGATTACCACGCCGCGGGGGTGGAAACTGCTCCGAGGTTGCGATTGCTTTCGAATTCGAGCACTGGCGGGTGGGCAAGCGAGAAAGTGCTTGCGGAGATATCCATTCGTAGTAAGCCCTCGTACAGAAACTTTATACTCTGCTATTATACAAGGCAAACATGGTGCGAGAGCAAGTTGCCTGGGAAAATCTGTCCGGGAGAATTACGATTGTGTTCAAGATCCGCTCGCGTTGTGCTCGTGCGAAGAAAGCGTGCGCATTTCTTATTTTTCTGCTTTTTCTCTTATTTTTGGTTGCACGCTCTCGAATTCTTTGGCAAACAGGGACTTCGTGTCGGACTTCAATTGCGAGCGACGCTATTTCCCCTTAATCATTATAATCGGACGGGGGAGCGGTTCGTGAAATAATTCTCTTCGTGTTTGTACTCTTCGTTACACGATTCCATTATTACTGAGTTACACAGGAAACGGCCACGCGATTCATGCCATTATCTTAATGAAATATGCTTATTATAGTTTAAGCGCGATTGCTTTTGTTCTGCGTATTTCACTCGTGGCTCAAAGGTATTAGCGTGCAAGACCGCTATATCATGATGTTTTCAATAGTAACATTGTTTACCGATATTTATTTTCTTCTGTTTATTATATATAAGGCGGTTATGTATTTGGAGATTAAAGTTTAATGTTTGATATAGCCGACTGCAATCAGTATGGTGTTGCCATCTGCTGAAAACTATGCGTAGTTGATGATAGGATTTTTGTGGTGGATATTGACTTAGCATGAAACTTTAGTCGAAAAGACATTAATTTCTATAATAATAATCTTTGCTGAAACTATCTTAATTTACTTTATTTTTCGTTAAGGGGATATTTGAAATTGTTAAAAACTATATGGTTCTTATCCAACTTATATATCTAGTAATAAATTATAGTTAAAGTAGTAAAAACTTGAATACAAGTATATAATGCATGTAGAACAAAAATTTATTAAAATAGCTTATAAATAAGATATATTAAAGACTTATTCTGCATATTTTTGGGAAACAGTCTCTTATCTGCTGACTAATAAAGACTTACCTTACACTGTGCAGGAAGGACTTTACTGGAAAGTAAGCGAATAGATGTCGTTAGTTACTTGCCGGTAAAAGGTAAATTACGCGTATATGTCGTGTGTTTGCGCAGTAGATAACTTCAATTAATCTTTTACATTCCGTTATAGAAATGGGTGATACTAAGAAAAAGAATCGTTGCTTAGGCAATTGATTGTAAAAATAATTGATTAAATTTTGATTCTTTTATAATTGTTTCATATCAAATAAATTATTGATATTAAGAGAAGGGAATTAAATTTATCGATCATTTGTTGCTCATTTCTATCTTGTGTTGCAGTTTCCTTATAATTGATAAACTACTACACATTTTTTGCCAATATGTGTGTGTAAAAAGAATATAAGAAAAATATGGAAATAATTTTCTCTAAATTAATGAGATTTAACATGTCATGTTTTCGGTTCGATTTTCGATTCGATAAATTTATCTTAGTTCGTCAAAAACAATATTAATCGGCCATTTACCTAAACTGCTATCTATCGTTTATGATCTGAAAAATATTCCCCAACATGTTCACGTACTATACATGCACAAGAAACGTGTCAAAACGTGAAATCTTAACTTCGTGTAAAATTAACGTCCCTATTCTCGAATCTCGACGATACCAGAATTTTGTTCATTGTTGAATAATATATTTCTTTTTATTGAAATTTGAATTTTAATGCTTATAGTATAAGAGTATCGAAATAAGAATTTGCATGGAAGTATGTCGAATCTTCAGTTTGTTTGTTAAAGTCATTGAAATGCATGGTAAACTCTACTTTTTAAAAATAAGCAAATATTTTATTATTATGGCACAAGACTACTTTGAGAATATTAACAAGATGCAATTTTTTGTTAATATGATATAGATATTACTTTTAAAAAATGCATTTTATCAATCTTTAGTAAGTAGCATTACGCAGCAGTCTATGGCTGCGTTCGGGGAGATGCTATTTAGCGCTATGAGCGTCCTTTGTTCTTATTCAACTTTCAGGAACAAACAAGGACAACGCACCCATAGCGCTAAACAGCGTCTCCCGAACGCAGCCTATATTTTCGAAAAATTTTCTAAACCAGTGATATGTATCACAAACATTACACGTTTTTTCTGTTTTTTTTTTTTTGGTATGTATGTTCAGTTGTTATCGCTGATAGCAAAGGTAAAAGTTCAAAGGACAAATGAAACGTTATTTAACAACGGCTACGTGCAGCAAGGCTAACTTAATTTAACGTTCAAATAAAAGTTTGACGCTTGACGAGACGCGTCACTACTGGTTTGGAACAAATGTTTTGTTAGTTCCTTTTTTTACCGATGTTACTGCGCTGTATTTCATACACAATTTCTTTAATTCAACAAAGCTCGAGCAAATGTTAAAAAATAATGACTTTTTTTAATTCCTCCTACAATCGCGAATAAAGACAAACGAAGCACAATATAAGACTCGCGCGTCCTTATACTTTCCGGTAAAGAAATAATTATTAATATACTTTTTCTATAAATAGAAGCACTTTTTTTTTTTAAAAGAAAAACACATTGTAACAAAATATTTTGACTTAGAAATAATATGACTTTACAGTACATTTTTTATTTCTAATGTACACGTATTTTAACATTTATACATTTTAACAATATTATTCTTAACATCTATTCCCTGTTTTTGTGCATATTACGTACAGAGTAACATAGATATGCACTCATTCATTTTATAGATTAAGACCATAAAAATATAATTTTTACGAGTTAAGTATTACGAGTTCTTCTCACGTACAACCGAGATCAATGTTGTGCTGTAGGCTTAATTAAGTTCCTGTTAATTATTTATCATGTCATGTTCTCTTAACGATTCGTATAATACCTTTGGCCTTTTCTATGCACTTATTATTTTCTTTACAATTACGTGCGTAAGCATTATCCTCTTGATCATAATAATCGTCTTTTTTTTATAATTTCATTCTGTTATGCCTACCAAAGCTGCAAATTCTAATACTGTAGCTCATTCGACGGAATGTAGTATTTCTCTTTTGGTCGGACAGTATATTAATATTCTTCATAAATTTATACGAAAACAATTCTCAGTATACATCGCTTATATCGCTAATTGTCGTTAACTCTAAGTATAGTAATAATATTCTTATCATTTAACATGTCTCTTATCGCACATCACGTACGCAAAACACTTCGAAACGAGAAGTCACTTGCGTCGTATTACATCCGATCCAACGACGCATTTCACCTTAATATAATAACTAAGTAATCCGAATATGAAAAGCCTCAATTGTTACGCGTAATGAAAAATATGACTCTTTTCCCTTTGCTATGACTGTTGGGCGAGTCGTATTTCAGCAACTTCGAGCTTTTGAAAAGTCTCGCGCGAGAAGGTATCGCGTTGAAGTGTACACTTTACTTAGTTAATATTAAGGTAACTGCTGTAGGAATTAAGCTTGTGCAGGTTCGTAGAAACACGAAACGCAAAACACTGGATACGCGATAGTTTTCATTGAGTATCTTCTCTATGAGACGATTAATCGATCATGCGCGGTTGATTCCGTTGAGATCCGTTGGTGTCTCAGTGATACGTCGTTGCCGTTCGGATACGCCGATAAAGTAATGATGGTTTCCTGCTCCTTGGTCGGGGTGTTGGTTCGAACGTTATCTGCCATGATAGAGAGACGCATGGCGCCTCGTTGTTCGCGGCGAGATTCGCTCAAGTATTTCCTCGAGCTGACAAGCGAGAAACTTTGCCCGCGCCCGCGGGAACTCGGATCCGACGACCGTCGATGTTGTCGTCGCGTCTTCTTTATGGGGCAACACAACAGGTACCTGGTGCAAATTCCAAAGTTGTTTGAACGTAATTAGCGAAGTGGATATATCGATCGAAATTGGCGTATTGTCGGCTTCGCTCAAGAAGGAAACTTGAAGAGCTTCCCCCTTTAAGCTCAAGAGGTGAAGATATTTTGATTCTTAGATCATTTGCATGGAGAATGGGGGGCTCTCCGAGCTCTTGACGGGGTCTTGATTAAGTTTCCAAACTTCAAACGTTCCTGTGTGACATTAAGACAGGAATAGTAATTAAAGTTTTCAAAATACAAAAACTCGATTAAAAATTCCTGTCTCGCCTCATTCGTTCCCTTCGTCGAGCGTTTAAAATTTCGCTAAAAAATTTCAGCTCTTTAGATGTAGGACATTCTTGGGATGTAACGCGTGCCAAGTTGTTTCGATCTAATTCCTGCGGTAGTAATATATCGTTCGCGCTTGAGCAACGCGTTAGCAGCGAGGAAACTTAAAGAACCAGAAGAATGCAAATATTGCCGTAACGTCTTTTGTCTTAAACCGTTCAAACATTCTTACAAGTTATATCTCTGCGGGAAGAAATAAAGTGAAATCGTTTCTTCCTTTCTTCTTCTCTCTGCGGCGTATTATTTTTCTGAGCTGTTATCACTTGCGCCGTTGCTACAGTGTAGTTAAAATATCAAGCTCACCTGTCGAAGTACTTCCTGAAAGTACCACTCACACAGTAGAGAGCGATGGGGTTGATGCAGCTGTTGGTGAACGCGAGACAGAAGCCCAAGATACGGAAGTAGTGCCAGAAAGCGTTGTAATCTTGTTGTGCGGTCGGATTAAGGTAAAACCACAGCATGAAAACGTGTTGCGGGAAGAAACAAATAGCGAATATAATGACGAAGGCCATTACCATCTTCGCTACTTTTTTACGGGCTAGCACTTGCTTCACCTGAAATGCGTTGGCATACTAAAGGAATACGCGGTGTTTACTGTGCAAATCGACTCAAGATTGTCATAATTTCATAAATCTCCGGCTAATATCTCGTCCGCGGATAATGAGAGAGAAAATTTCCAGAGAATTGAAAATATAATTTCGATGAGAGGTGCTCTCTAACACCGGCTCTCGCTCTCTTATTATTAAAAGTAAGTGTTACCTGACCCTGCATCTCGCCGGGAATATTTTTCGTACTGTGCATGAGATGTCTGGCCATGAGTATGTAGAAGACGGCGATGATACTCAGAGGTATCATGTAGTAGAAGAAGAAGCGACATATGATTATCGTTTTCGGGTAGTTCGGTCCAAATTCCTCGGGAAACGGATAGCACACCTTTAATTACACATGCACATCAGAATTGTTAGACAGATACCGTTGTCACGGTGTTCTATTACGTAAGGAGAAACGTCGTCTACCTCGACAATCCATGATATAGAGCAAGTTCACGAGTGGTTTTACAGACTCGATCTAAAACGGGAATCTTTATGAGCTCGATGATCGAACTTACGCTAAAGCTCACGTTTCGGTTGACCCTGAAGACTCTGATGTATGAGAAGGAAGCCGGGATAGCGCATACTATAGCCAAGATCCAGATCATCACAGCCACGATCACGGTGAAGTGTGTAGCTCGTCTACCGCTACCTTGAACGAATGAGCAAGTGATTTAATTGTTGCATTTCAATGTTGACTTTTATGTGCTGTAACTCCTTTATAAAAATTCGAGTTTTCTGTAGCTATAATTTTATTTTTAGCGGAATCTTCATATATATATTTTATCCTTAATAAAAATGTCTTTTATAGGGGATATTCTGCTTCAAGTAAACATATTTCTCTTGATTCAAAAGAGGAAACAAGTTATAATAATATCTAGTAGATTTCCAATTAACACAGTTCACCTCAGAATAGGAGTACTCTTTCCATTTTTGCTTAAAATATAGGATTACAAGAGATAGAAAAATTCTAAATCTGTTTAGACTTAGACTTAGATTTAGAATTTTTTTGAAACCCTAAAAGAAAAATATTTTTACACCCAAAAAAGAACTCTAGTTGCGAGGTGCTATCTCCTGTAACCCTATATTTAAAAAATGGGAAGAGTACTCCTGTTCTGATGAAGTGAATTGTGTCAATCGAAAATCTACTAGATATTATTATAACTTGTTTCCTCTTTTGAATCAAGAGAAATATGTTCACTTGAAGCAGAATGTCCCCTATAAAAGACATTTTTATTAAGGACAAGACTTGTACTATAAATGAAAGACGAAATTCTCCTAACTTTTTAGATATTGTATATAGGATATTTTTCTTTTGATTTTAGAAAAATTTTCATGAAATTATATATAAGAGGTTCCATTAAAAAAAAAAATTATATTTTTAAAATGTTTTTTAAAAATATATTCGGACATATTCTAATTATATTGGAAATAGATATTATTATTCCGACCATCGTTATATTTTTTGTAGAAAAAGGAACTCTTCTCTTGTAATTTTTCAACTTCATTTGATTTTTATTTCCAACTTTACTGGATTTTTATTTCCAACTTCATTGGATTTTTATTTTTCGTTTCGCGCAATTTCTTTCTATGCGACTCGAGTTGATGAACTAGTGGAATACCTGTAACGTGTAATTTCCGCATGGGATCTACAATGGCAAAAAATCTGTCTGCCGAGAGAGCAGTTAGTGTTAAAACAGAAACTCCGATGGAAATGTCCTTTACGCACTCGGCAAGTTTGCATAGTAAGAGTCCAAACGGCCAGGATTCCAAAATGTAGACGATAGCGGTGAAGGGCACACTTATCACTATCAGCTGCAAAATAGAACGAAAAACCAATTAGTCGGACGTAAAACGAGCATTATAGTCGAAAGGATAATTTAATTCTACTTGGTATTTTCGATTACTGCAACTGAAAGCATGTCGCGGCTTTGTATCCAATTTGTAGCGTTAACATCTACTGAAATATTCAAATCGCGAAATTCGTGTTGCGCGGCTAGTTCATATAACGATCTCGTTATATTCACACGAGCGTACCGAGAGTCGGTCGCATCCATCAATTTCTCCTTAAAAAAGATCTACCCGTTAAAAAACACCCGTTGTGTGGACCATAAGCTCATCGCCACGCGTAGCACGCGTTACATTGCATGAGAATGTGAGCTATTTGCGCAAAAAAAAAGAAGAGCAATAAGCATGGAGAGACAAGCGAAGATTGAGGGTACATCGAGAAAGTGTCGCTTGAAATTTCAAAAGTGATATACGAGAGGCGGTTGATATTATAGGCCAAGAACCCTACACGCCACGTTTAGCATCGCGGTTTTGGTATGCACGACACTGAGAGTCGTGCGATTAACTGTTTGCATTACGTAGGATTTGCCGCGAAATGGTGAAGCGAGAATCAACAGACGGACTTATGCTACTATACTACGTATCGACGTCACAGCGAAACCGATCGATCTCGCTCTTCCACGTGTAACGGAACGCGCTTAGGGTATGATACCGAAAATACACAACAGCTGCATACGAACCGTCTTCCGCTGCAATTGCGAATCTATATACGGTGCATTCCGAGCGAATAATAAATCTCTTAATTGCTCGTTGAAAGAGCCTGTATAGACGTTGCACTTGACAATGCGAGCATATTTCCGCACATTTTCGTCGGCGAGACCAAAAAATCGATCGCATTGCTGATCTAATTGAATATGCAGGAGAACCTCGGACGATCTACCACCGAATGCATTTACATTGAAGAAGATGCATCGCGCGGTATCGAGAAGAATTTCGAGAAGAATAAGGGTGAGACGACAACGTGCTATTCGTCAAAAGTTTCGAGAGCGACATCATGATGAAACTTTCTAACATTTTATTTGTCTCTATGATGAATGGGCTAAACACGATGGATGCGATATTACCTGCTCTCAAAATATTCTCGGAAAGGTTAAAATGCATTTTTCTATTATAATTTTTTACCGTGTATATATTTTGCGATATAGAATCGAAAAATACTTGCATCAAGAGAACGTGTCGGAAATTTCACAATATTACTGTCTCTGCGTAAATGGATTATAATGCCTCGATGTATTAATATAACGTTGAGCTCTCGAGTGTGCACATTCCGACAAACGGTGTATAGCCTCTCTACACAATTATATGAAATCCATTTATCAGTGATTTTCATATCTTTCGTTCTCCTTTCCGTGATATTGAAATCACATATAAAACGGTGACTTGCTTGTTGGAGGTTTAATTCGCGAAAACACCGTGGCGGGCGATAACGTAAACAACGTTGAACAGGCGGAATAAAAAAACCCACTGATCCAAGCGCGAAATCATCATATCCTCCTTGACGGACGTTTTCGCGCGGTTGCACAAATATTTATCGCCGTCTCAAATATTGGCGAGAGTCGGCTCAATTGACGGATAGCAGCTATTCGCGTACGTGCGAAGCATGCTTTGTCGCAGTCGGATTTTCGGCGAAGGGACCCACACAAACGCGTTATACGTGCCAGTAAATCTCCGAGCGCCAGCGACAGAACGTACGTGTTAGGTACGTTCCGCATGTTGGCGTGTCGCAGGATCGTGAGGGCGAGCACGCCGTTTCCGGTGAGACCGATCACCATGATCAGGAATAAGATGGCCGGCACGATGTACGTCTCGGGCCGATCGCTGTAGGGTATATATTCCTCCTCCTCATCGTTGGCCGCCCTCGTCACGACGTCGCTGATTACATCGCAAACAGTACTAACGTTGACTCCCGTGTAATTTGACGTTAGTGTCGACAGTGTCATTCTCGTTGTCACCATCAATGCCGTGAACGAGGACGGTGGTACACTCGTTGCGTATGACCAGGACATGATCGACCGTCCCGACCCGAGCGCTCTTCTTGAGGAATGCTTTTCCGTTCGTTAACGGGAATATGAGCCACTTTGCATTTTGATTTTCTTTCTCTCGCCGCCCGAGTTACAAAGCTTCCCGGCGACACTTACACGCGGCAGCTGTAAAATAAAGGGGAGCGTTGTGATGAAATTTTTATGCGGAGAGAAAGAGTTCCCGGATTCGTTTAACAACGAGCTGGACGCCGACGCGAAAGAAAGCCCTGTTCTTACAAGCCGTAAGCTCAAGCACGTTCGAAATGATGAAACGACCGTATAACGCTGCGAATAGGCTTCAGATATTAAGTTTAGCGTTTGGAGAATTTTCAACGAAGTTAGCAACCTGCTGAACCCGTCAAGAATGCTTACAGAATCAACGACTCGCCTCGGCGTCCGAGCCGTAACAATATAACAAGCTAAAACTTAAACCAAGAGGAAGAAGAAATTTGGAAAATTGCGAAAATTCGTTGAATTAAAATTACAGACGTCAAACTCTATATATAAATTATAAATATCTCGACGAAGAATGCATGAGTCACGCGTAATTTCGTACTTTGTCGTTGCTACAACGCGTCGCGTTATATCTGAATTTCTTGGAGTGAATAAAATGGACAGTATCTTTTTTATGTTTCAATCGATTGTATAGTTCCTCTGGCGGTGGAATACATCAAACTCATTCTTCAATTTCGAGTAAAAATATTCACTCGACGATTCAGAATGGAAAATTCACTATGTGAGAGTGAAAAATCACTCGAATTTGAGTGACTCGGCTGTCATTCTACTTCCGAGTGAAATTTCATTCTGAGAAATTTAAAGAATAAGCACGACGTTAATGAAACACCATATCATCCGTAGACCAACGCAAATAACGCGTATCAGAGTTGTGAGTCAGATACGCGCGCTAAATTATGATTATATCCAAGCACGCGTCAAATAGGCAGTAAATAATGTCGATTATTGGTGAATTCGGTGAACAGTTTGGATTGCATTTGCAACAGAACCGTTTGAATTCGACCGTTTGAAGTTATCTGCAGACGCGTTTGTCGGCGCTACCAAGTAATCGTCACTAAGTGCCATTTGGAAAATTACAGATTTATCGATCATTCCGCAATTTCCGATACAACTTTAAATGTTAAACGAATGGCGCACGAAACGGCGAGTTTCGCAATCGTGAGCGCAATCTTCCACCGATATCCCGTTAGTCGTTAATCGATTACGAAATGTTTCACGCAGCGACGCAGGGAAATAGCATCGGCAGTGTGCAACGGCGTCAGTCATGATACGCTCGTGCCTCGTTCAAACCCGATAACGATTGACAAACTGTCGAATCTTTCGCACTTTCAGCACATCGCGACTCTTGACAAAAGGAAATCGATTGTTGTAAAAAGTTGAGTCCGCGCTATAAGGTAACAGATTCTCCCGTATTCTAATCTAATCCATTTTTATTATGTTTATTGTGTCACTTGTGTTATTAAAAGAAATATGAAAAAGTATTGGAAATCATATTAGTACTTACTTGTATGTTAACGCAACAAGGCTTTAAATAATCCAAAATAATAAGAATGTCCAGGTATTAATTATGTATCCGGGTACTGATGTTCTTATCTTAAACTTCGTGAGAAGACTTTTGGTATTTTATAGAAGAGAGAAAATAAGAAAAGGGAAATAATGAAGCTACTTGCACGTGAGAAAATAAGGCTTATTATAGATGAGTTACAAGATGTGAAATATATCGAGTAGCCTTGATCATAGACTTAATAAATCACACCCTATACGTCTCCCATTTCACGAAAACTTCGACTTCGACCGCAGGCTACACCATCACTCCCTCGCAAGTTTTCCCTCCACCATATCACTCATTTCTTTGAGTTTTCCTCGCCATTCTATCGCGGACTACGTATGACCTTGCGACAGGAAGGATACTTGATATAAAAGTAGCGCGAAGAGATTGCGTAAAAGTATGAAAGTCTTACGCCAGGCGTCAATAAAAATAGTTTCGCCCTTTGAATTCTTGGAAAACTTGAAACAAGCATATTTATATTTAACGTAGATATTTCACGATTTATTTCTCCTTCTCTCACAGACACGTAATATCACGTACCCGCTGTGCGCGTATTTATATCTAACACCTTTAAGATCAGTTGTAAACTCACGAAATTTCTCGCGCACACGTCGCACTATACAATATTTTGTCCCGTCGAGCGCGCGCGGGTGTGTATGTGACAGCGAGATCTGCACTCCGCCGCTCGTAAATAGAATCTAAATTTAAAGGTCGTAAACAAGATCAGAGAGAGAGATACACTGGGGCACAATGGGATTGGATTCTATAACAGGCGTAAATGTGCTATTTAACGATGTGCTGAAATATCGTTAACGCTATTACATCTCCATTTCGGCAGCATCATAGCACGACTACATGGTGGCGAGATGCGATCGGGCTGTCAATAAGGATCGAGATCAAAACTCGAGTTCGAAATACACTGTTAAATATTGGAGGATCAAATTTAAACCAATTTCTCGAGTTAAATGATATTTAGTTATTTTTAATTATCATGTGTGTCAAAATTTACTATTTTAACACAAAACATGTATTTAAAAAAACAACCACATCTAATCAACTTTAATATTGTTTAAAACAATATTAAGTCATTTTTTATTAAAACAAAGATTAACGTATACACATAAAAAATAAACTAAATTTTAGTCAAATTTAATACATTTCTTAAGTTAAATTATTTAACTTCATTACATTAGTTAAATTAACGACATATTTAGTAGGAGTAGTGGCGACTTATAGGAATGGTTAAAAATAACTCAAATTGAATATAATTTGACACTACGGATTTAACAGTGTAACGTTAATACAGATCGTCGTTAACGCAGATCTTAAAATCGAAGGCAAAAATTGAATGTTACTTCCTGAACATATGCTCTCTTTGCATTTCCTGACTTTTTCCACGCGAGACAAATACACATTTGCATGGAGTCTCATACAGAAAGAAAAAACGTGGTTGATTCGCGTGGCACTTCAGCCAGCCGTTTGTACGAATTGGCAGCACTCCAGTGATTGCATTACCGATTCTCATGTGCAATTAATGCTCGGATTAGGGAAAGCGAGAGCGGTAGATCGCGGCAAATTGCGGCCTGATAAATTCGCACAGTGTAGAAACTAGTTAATTCCTACGTCGTGCGACGCGCCGCAGTAACATGGGATCCCCTGAAAGCAACGCGGTGTATATCGCTATCGGACTATCAGGAATATCGCGCCTGTGTGTTTGGTCTCGAATTTCCACGATTATTACAGGCCGCCCACGCAAACCGGCCGACGCGGGTTACGCGCGCTGAATACGGACATCCGTCCGCTTTGACTTCTCTGTTGCTAAATATTCCTTCGGGGAAGATTGCCTTTCCGCCCGTTCGTCACGACGAGGTTTGGTGCGAACGAAAAATCGAGCGATTGAACGGCAAAGGATCCGATGGTGTGTGGGTAGTATTGGAAAAAGCACACCAGTTAAATTGCGAGATCACCCACTGATCTTTGCAAAAAGTAGCATGACTAAGCAAACGACCCAAAGGAAAACTGTGTCGTGTCCAGATATTCACCAGCCAACGCAAACTCCGCGAGAAGAAACACACAAGTTTCGCAGGAGTTTCAACCGCACTACGACCGTAATAAACGTTCCATGCGGGGTCTTTTATGTAAAGTATCGGAAAACGCTTGTTCCTGCGCTGGGCTGGATTTTCTTTTTTTTTCCTCTTTTTTTCGTTTTGCTTTTATATATGCGCGTGCGCTTAATTAAACTTTTTATACTATTACTTGTTGCGCTATAATCGTCGCTACGTCGCTCGCTTTTCGTCGGCATCCTTTCGGATAATTATTAACGGATAATTGCGCTAAATGTGCCTCTTTATTTAAGTCCTCCCGTGTTGCATTGTAATTAAATTTTAAAAATATCCGCTCGCGTGTCTTATATATCAACGTCAATTTATACGCTGATATCAAAGAGAAGACGTGGGGCTGGAATATTAATAGTACAGCCGATCTGGCTGTGTGACGTAACGCAAGTATAGTTAGTTTGTATTACGGTGGCGCAGAATTATGCGTCAAGGAGATCTTGCCGACACGATTCAATCGATATTTGGACACCGACGAAGGGAGAGTGACTTGTGAATTCAAGTTTAGTGTCGCAAGAAATTCAATAGAATTGTTTTCGACTTTGTTACGATAATAATGCAATCGATCGATTATTTGGCTTTTCATTTTAAGTAACCAGATGGTGTGCGACTTTACTCTCTAAAATAACGCGTTTCTCGTCAAGAGATATTCCTCCAGACCACACGACGGTGGTTTGAATCTAACAAATCACAACCTTCTTCATGCGCGCGCGCGTGCGGGCTGGTATATCATCACGTCGCGTGTTATAAAACTTCCACGTGGATTTTTTCAGCGTGGAAGTGACAGCTCCTTCGACAATCACGAAATCTCCGTCGTTGCCGCGTCTCTTTGCGAAAACGGAGAATGCTCGTGTAAAACGCGAAATCTCAGCCGGCGTCGTAAACATTTTAACGACCTATGACGGGGAATCGTTTTAACCGTTTCCCTCTTGGGAAGTATCGTGAATCAAATGATGAACGTTAATTGGGTCGAGAAAATAATCAGAACCCGGCACATGGCCCGACTGGAACTCGCGGTTCTTATCGCGGTGTTCGTCACCGTCTACCTCATAACGACCGATCATCACGGAAAGTTACGTTTCCGTTCTCACCCTCGCGTTTTAATTCACAGACTCGATGTCTACGCTTTATCGTCAGATTGCGGGATCAAGTGGTAAATGCCTTCGCTTAAACGTACCGCGACGTCGATACCTCGAGATATATCGGATCGTAACCGACGAAACGTCTTGGCGTTCTGATCACGTTTCGACGAAATGCGGTAACACATTTTCACTCGGCTTTACACTTTAGGAATACTTCCTCTTCCTTTTTAAGACGACCCACTGATAGTCGTTCTACGAGATAAATCGCATCACAGTGTGCTGTGCTGCGTTTACTCAATCGTTTTTCGCCTTCGCGACACGTGTGTGTCTTGCCATGTGCTCTTCAAAAAAAAGAAATGGAACAAA